GCCGGGGCGGGCTCTGCCAGCAGCCCCGCCCGGGCTCAGCCCCGCCCCGCCCGGCCCAGCCCGGGATGCGCGGGGCCAGCGCCGGCATCCCGGGGAGCGCATGGATGGATGCGTGCGGAGCCGCTGTGCAGCGGGGCCGGCGGGCACCAGGGGGAGCCGCGCGACGCCAGCGGAGCTGGGCCCCCCGAGCCCCCCGCGGAAATTCTGTAAGGCGTGAAAGCAGCGTCCTGCCGCGCTCTTGGCACAGCGCCGGGAACGGGCTGGGATGGAAGGGACCGCGAGATCATCTCCTTCCTCCAAGCCCCGTCCAAACCGGCCTTGGATACTTCCAGGATGGGGCAGGCACAGCTGCTCTGGGCTACCTGTGCCAGGGCCTCACCTCCCTCACATGGAACAATTCCTTTGTAATATCCCCATCTAACCCTCGCTGTTTCGGTGTGAAGCCATTCCCCTTTGTCCTATTACTACATGCTCTTTTAAAAATTCTCTCTCCATCTTTCTCATACCACTCCTCTCACCTCCCCCCCAAAAATGGGCATTAAAATCCGAGCTGCAGGATGTACCTGCGGGAGAATAAAAATAACAGATGCAGATGCACACGAGTAATAAAAGATGAAATTCACACACTGAGGGAGGTATCCTGCAACTGCTTCTTGATATGTGGCCTTTTGGGTTTAAGGGGGGCTAATAAAAAGGATGGAGAGTGACTTTTTATTGGGGCAGATAGTACAAGGACAGGGGAATGGCGTTCAGCTGAAAGAGGAGAGATTTAGAGGAGGTGTGAGAAGGAATTTTTTCCCTGCGAAGGTGAGGAGGCCCCTGGATCCCTGGAAGTGTCCAAAGCCAGGCTGAACAGGGCTTGGAGCCATCTGGGATAGTAGAAGGTGTCCCTGCCCATGGCAGAGGGTTGCAGTTATATGATCTTTAAGGTCCTTTCCAACCCAAACCGTTCCATGATAGGCCCATATCTCTGTCTTTGTAAAGAATTGTAAACAACCTCACAGCTTTGAGAGCTTTGGTGGGACTGCAATTTTCCAGCCACTGAATCCCTACTCAGAATGGGTTTAAACCCCACCCTGGCTCAGTGGAGGAAGAGGGGAAGGCCAAAAGAACTCAGCAATGCTTTTCTGGGGGAAGAGAGACCCCCAAACTCAGCAAAGCCCCATGCTGCAGCAGTGCCTGTGCCATCAGTGTGCCAACAAATCCGTTTTTTTCCCGCTGGGGCTGGGAAAGGAGGGGCTGCCACGGCTGCCTAGAAATGGTTAAAACATCATGGGAACTGCTAACTAGTTTTAATTGCTGGCAGCTGCTCAGCTCCTCGGGCTAGGGCAGTGGGGGGAAGGCGCCCTGGCAGTAATTACAGCCTGTGCCTCGCCAGCTCGGGGCCGTGGGTTTGGCGCCGGAGTTCCCCGGGCTCGGCGAGCTGCTCCAGCCACAGCCTTGCTCCCAGGGCTCAGCCTGCTCCGAGCCTTCAGAGGGAGTGCAAACCCTGGCAGAATGCAGAGGCTGTTCCATTGAGATGCAGCATGCAAGCTGTCACCCAAAAATGAAAATCCACCTTGCAGTGCAAACCCCGGTAGGACGCAGAGGCTGTTCCATCGGGGTGTTGCATGCAAGCTGTCACCCAAAAAAATGAAACTCCACCTTGGAGAACCTTCTGGAGCTGTCAGGAGCTCTTACTAGTTAGCCAACCTAAAAGAAATGTTTGGGTGACTTTAGTTAATGCTTCAGGTTTAGATACCACATGTTTGTCCAATATGATCCCCAAGAAACCATTTTCCACCTGTTTGGTTGGTGTGCCAGCGGATGTTTGGCCAATCCCAAAAGATATTCAAAAAGCTATACCAGGCACATTTAAGGGATCATCCCCAAATAATCTTTGGATTCCGGTGGATGCATGGGAATAGTGGGTTCCTCACCTTCCCAAGGCGTCTTCTGAGCCTCAAGAATTAGAGATCCTTGGCTCTATGTACATAACTTATTGTGTCAAGTTTAATTACACAAGGAAAGATCGATCTGTAGTTAAGGGTGTTACTCCCTTTCACAGTATATTTTAAAAATAGATCTCCCACTGTCCAAGCTGCTTCTCCCACCCTCTCCCTCAGCCAGAGGCACCCCCAAAAACCAGGAGGGACTCGTGGCATGCTGCTTGGGCCACCTGCACATCAGCGGTGGTGCAGTTGCCTTGAGTGCTACCTCGAGCATCCCACACTCGGCTGCACTTCAGCCGGTGTTTACAGAGCAGTGGGACGTGCCAGAAAAGGCTGAAGAGCAGGAAAAGGAAAAAAAAATCTCATTTCCAGTTGCTGTCGAGGGAGTGAAGCTGTAAGGGAAGAGCCTGGAGAAGGGATGCACCTGATGCAAACCCAGCAGTGTTGGCACTGGGGGTAAGAACTCTGTGAAAATAAAGCAAGACAAAAAGGTGTTTTCCAGCGGGATCAGGCCAGCTAAGTGCAATTTCAAAGTGCCTGCTTTGGGAAGCAGAGTGTGGAAAACGAACGAGAGCGGGTGGGTTAGACCGGGCAGTGTTTAAGGCGGTCTGGTATTCAAAATACGAATTAAAGCCATGCAAATGAAGGGTTCACTTACCCCCATTGCGCCATTTGAGAAAAATATGACATGACAAACTATCATTAAGGCAAAGGGCTGTTTTTCCTCCCAGGTGTTTATGTACTAGCCCTCGTTTTCCCTCTAATGGCCAGGCGTGAACGTGTCAATCAAATTCCGGCGCGGCAGGACCGCTCCCAACAGCGACCCGAGGTGTGAGGAGTTACACCGGGCAGGCTCCAGCCTTGCCATCAGCCCCAGAGGGGCTGGGTGCAGCCAAGGGGAAGGGGATGGCACATGGGAAAGGGTTCCTGGCATTCTGCACCAGGCAAAGGGAGGCACTGCTCCCAGCTCAGGGTGCAGCAGGACCCTGGTGACAGCACATCCCGCTCGTGACACACCTGAGCAGGGACCTCGCCGGGCTGGACATTCGGGTCTCAGGCACAGCCAGGAGGAAGGGGGTGCATGAAAGCGTTAAAAAAGATGGCAATCAGATGAATAATAAACAGAGGGAACTCCCAGCGCTTAATCAGGAGGTGAGACAAAGACTCACTTGTTTGGGATTCAAGGTCACGGCGCCCTTCAGCTCTGACCGCACCGTCATGGGAGGGGTGGGTGTGGGTTTCTTTTCCCACCCAAATTTCGGAGGCAGAGCCGACCTGAGGTGGGCTGAAACATCCTCTGTTGATTCCTTTCAGACCTTGCTCCTCACTAAATATCTCAGTGATCTGATATAATGGCTGGGCTTGCTGGCACCAACTTATCAAGACATCTTTAAGGTATGAAGAAAATTTCAATCAGTGGGAAGAAGGACAAAAAATTTTCTTTACTTTTTTTTAAAGAGCTTGTTCTTTTAATCCCTCAGATGTTATTTGCAGCTCTGGTCAGCTGGAAAGGCTGCAGCCAGGGGTAGCCAGAGGTGCTTTTTTATTTGGGGGTTCAGAGGTCTTGGAGGCAATTTGCATGGCATTATCCATAGCTGTGCTATCGGGACAAACAGTCCTGCCAACCTAATTAGGCATTAGGAAGGCGAGAGCGCCTGAAGACCAGCACACAGGGGAAAAAGAGGAGATACACAGCAAAGCTACTGATATCGTGGGGTCGAGGCGCTGGGAAGGGCTTCCCCAGCATGGAAAAGCCTTGCAGAGAGCTCTGATTTCCCTGGGATGCTGCTGCCTGGATGCCCTGGCACTGCCTCCCCACCAGCTCACCCTGCCACATCCCCTCTCGCTCCACAAAAATCCTCTTCCCTCCTCTGGGAATGCAGGTGGGCTGAAATCCCTCTGCTTTTTGTAAAGAGGGGATTTTAACAGGGAGTTTGTTGTTACCAGGCACGAAGTAAACACTGAGTTAGCCGTGGTTCATTTCATTTTTTCTCCCCTACTGCTGACGATTTCCTCACCTGAGAGCTCTGGGAGCACCAGAGGAGGCTGCAGAAATTCCTGCTGACAGACCTGCTGCAAGGATGCTTTTCCTGCCACGGAGAAGTCCTGGATGCTGCCTGAAAAAGACAGGGAATTTACTTCTTTGCACAGGGCAGAAAAAGGGTTGGAAGAGGACAGAGCAGGTTTTCCTGCAAAACAGGTAGAGCAGTGTATTTTGACAGGTAGGTTGTTGCGGGGGGACACCTGAGTGTGTCCCCTCAGTTTGCCATGGGCCAGCTTCACCCGGCAGGCAGTGATAGGACATGGGGAAACTGTTTGAAACTGAAAGAGGGGAGATTTACAGGAGATGCAAGATTGAAATTCTTCCCTGTGAGGGTGGGGAGGCCCTGGCAAAGGGTGCCCAGAGAAGCTGTGGCTGTCCCATTCCTGGGAGAGTCCAAGGCCAGGTTGGACAGGGCTTGGAGCCACCTGGTCCAGTGGAAGCTGTCCCTGCCCATGGCAGGGGGTTAGAACAAGGTGATCCTTAGAGTCCCTTCCAACTCAAACCATTACATGATTCTAT